TCAATATTTTTCAGGACGGCACGAAAACCAATGGATGAGAATGATCCCATTGTACAACCCCCAATATATATATAATAATAAAAATGTAGCCTACCACCAAACATTTCTCTATTCTTAAAAGTTAAAACCACAAAAAAAACTCTTCTTTAGTCATCGGGGTATTGAAAATTTGAAAGTATTCGAATACCTTAATAAATTAGTTACTTCCATAATTTGAAGTTTATTATTTGTTTTACGTAGTCAAGACAAAAAAATAAAATAAATAAAATCTCCACAATTATTATATTTATTCTAACAAAATTTACTTTCTAATTCAAACTATATAATATAAAGGTATTATAAGTTATAATTTATCAAAGTACCCATTTGAATAATGAATTTGATATGCTTATCACAATAATAATAATAATAATAATGAATTTGAGATGCAAATAGCTATATTGATTAAAAAATTGTATTTGTTAAGATATATTCTAAACTGGATTAAACATTTCCTGCTTGGAAATTGAAAGGATGGGGAATATATACAAGAGTTTGTTGTTTTATGATTTAAACTGTAAAATATTGACTCTTAAATGAAGGAGGTTTCTAGTATCAAGAGACTCATTTTTTATCTAATGATTAATATTTTACCATCCAAAACTATTTAGATTGTAAGGCAGTTTTTTGAATATACAATCTCTAGTCCTTGTCTGTGATTCTTCTTGGATGATCTCATGTCTCTTTTGGTTACATTTATAAATTTCAACAATGTTTTTAAATTACATTCTTGTTGAAAGGTTTGCACCTACTGCTGTTTTCTTTTTCAATAAAATGATCTGTATTAGGTACATTATGACTTTGATCATTATTTCATTAATATCGACTATAATTTTTTTCTAATTCAAAAGCAAGGATAAAAAGAAGACCATGGGAATGCAATCATTGTCGTTGTAATGCTGAAGCAAGACTCAATGGGGTCTTCTGTCGGACATCCCTTCTAAGGGCTATTGCCCTTCTTAGTTCATGATTTGTCAGTAGATAGAACAGTTCTTGTTCAATTACCCTTACTTTTCAAGTGTTGTTTTTCATTTTTGCAGAATGGTGTTAGAGGATTCATGCTCGATATGTATGATTTCGAGAATGATATCTGGTTGTGTCATTCCTCTGGAGGAATATGCCTCAACATAACAGCTTTTGTAAGTGTTCATTGGTACATTTTAAGCCAGCAGTTGGATTATTTCTACTAAGTTCTTGCAAAATTTTGACTTAATGTCAAATTATGGAGTTTTCCATTGTAAGCTGCTTGTTAAATATATCAATTATTATTGTTGCTGACTGCTTTCATTCTCCATGACCAAATGATCTTTCAACCAATTTGCCAGCAACCTGCAATTAATATTCTGAAGGAAATTCAGGTATTTCTTGCAGCGAACCCATCAGAAATAGTCACCATTATCATTGAGGACTACGTTACATCACCAAGCGGCCTAACAAAAGTGTTTGATGCCGCTGGTCTAAGGAAATTCTGGTTTCCTGTGTCTCAAATGCCCAAAAATGGTGGAGATTGGCCAACAGTTGATGACATGGTTCAAAGGAATCAACGTTTACTGGTTTTCACTTCAAAGTCAGACAAGGAGGCTTCTGAAGGAATAGCATATCAATGGAGATACATGGTAGAAAACCAATGTGAGTCCTATTACTATTCTTAATGTATTGAACATGTTACTGATACAATGAGAAAAAGTAACTCGTAACAAAGATAATGTTGATGCATCTTGCAATAACAGATGGAAATGGTGGAATGAAAGCCGGGTCATGTCCGAACCGTGCAGAATCACCTACTATGAACACAGCATCGAGGTCACTGGTTTTAGTGAACTACTTTCCCAATTTACCAGACTTATTTCAAGCCTGCAAGTACAATTCTGCTCCTTTGATTAGCATGGTCAACACATGTTATGAAGCAGCCGGTAAACGGTGGCCTAATTTCATTGCTGTCGACTTCTACAAGGTATGGATGGTAGAAAACTATCTATTTTTTGCTATAAACAAGAGTAGGCAAGGAACATTGCCCAAGTAGGTACATTTATCATTAACCCATAGATTAACATTACAGAGGAGTGATGGTGGGGGTGCGCCAGAGGCTGTAGATGTGACGAATGGTCAACTAGTTTGTGGATGCAATAACATTGCCCTCTGCAAGGTCTGTACTAAAAACTCGCTAATCCACAGGATAGAAATTTTCTCCATATTAAGCTTCTGACTATTGTTTAATTGGTTGGTGTAGGCAAATATGACTTTTGGAGCATGTACGTGAGGTATATTGAATGCAATGTGACGTTAATGCGTCTATGATTGCTCAAGCAAAGTAGTCTCGTAAGGTGCGTAGGTTGGCTTAAAAACACCATGAGTGTCGAAACCAAAATAAACACTAGGGTTCCTCATACAAAATTTTTTTCCCTAGTTTGTAACATCCCTCACCCTTAACAAAAGTCATAAAATAATTAAGGCTTGAGAAGATGATCCTTGAAACTTGAAAATTGAAATCGTGCGTTAAGCCTTTTCTTTATCATGTAATGCATCTAATTCCATGAGTATAATGGTTAGTCTGGGCTTATGCAGCAAACAGCAGTTTCTCTCTCTCGAATCTGGTTCTATTGAGCTTTTGCATGTTGAATATGGGCCTTGTATGATCCTTTTACACAATCAGGCCAGCCCTTCTAATTAGTCAAACCTCTATTAAGTCTATATTGCTTCCTTCAGCCCACGTAACGCATCATCTCATCAATTCTCAGCACATTTTCTCTTTATTTTTATTTTTTCCTTTTCTGAAGGGGTAGAATTTTTTTTATCTTTCTTTTCTAATTAGGTAAGACCACTACTAATAGTGCATCAATCCAGGGTAGGTAAATACTTGACATTTATGTATTAAAAAAAAGTTAGCTCAATGAATTCGGTGTGTGCACGGCTCAAGAAGCCTTAATCTCTATATTTTTTGGCCTCCAAGGTTAATAATACAATTAACATGCAAGTAGCTCTAATAATTATTGATTAACAACCACTAATCACTCATATCTAAACAAATTTACTTGTTTTCTTACTTTTTTCAACCCATGAAAGTTGAAATATACGTTTCGGTTAGGAATCTAGCCGAATTATCACGTGGTTAGCTAGTGATAAATAATGGCAGAAACCCTAAATTCACCCCTTAAGGCAGGGACAAATTGCCTTTCAAATTACAAATTGAAACAAATCATTTATTTTTTAACATGTGATATTAATTTTTCGTTAAAAAATACTTACATAACAAATAAAATTCTAACGTCATACATTAAAAAATTAGTTATTTATTTCGATTTATAATTTAAAAAAACAATTTGTCTTTATATTTTTTTGAGAGACGTAATTGTCCCTACCCCTATTTGAGGAGTGGATTTGGGGGTTTTGCGGATAAATAATAATACAATAAATGATTAGAGAATTGTGTTTATAAATCCCGACCCTTCAATTTTTTTGTGGTCTGATAATTCAAACAAAGTCATATTGGACGCTTGGGCCTTGCCTAAACTGCCTCAGCATGCGAAACAATGTTGCTTAGATTACAGGAGTCCCAAAAATTTTAAAGCCTAGGATTGATGGTAAACATTACTTCTATTATCTAATGATTTCATTAAACTAAATAATGGGAGATGGTCAGGGCCCATTTGTTTAGTATCATTGTTGTTTATTTTTGGTTTTCAATTCTAGATGTCCTTCCTTTTAAAAAAAAAAATTATTTTAGATTGCATGATAATAGACAATCATCTTTTATCTCTTAACTCAGTCCACTCATATATTATGTAACTTGAGTTTATGATTTTTTATTTCCATTAAAAGAAAATTACTATTAAATTATTTAAGTTGTTGAGTTTTTTTTAGTTGTCTTAATAAATAATTAAGTGTATATACATAAATGATTTTTTTTGAACAACAAAGAAATATTTTATTTATGGGATACAAAGGATACCTTAATCCATTTACAGGATATGCATATAGATACTACATCCCTATATTGCAGATTTTTTAAATAAATGGTTATTTTGTTTAAGCTCCTTGGTTATTGATAGGATAAAAGTGTTCCCACTAATATTTTTGTGGAGAATGTTTGAAATTTGTGTTCCTCTTTGCCTTTCTATGCATGTTGTTAAAGTGGCTGGTTTGACTTAAGATATTGGCTATTAGGTAAAGCAACATCTTACATATATATATTCTGCTTTGGTCATGTTTGATATCTTTCAAGTTGGAATTTAAGAAATGGGAAGCATCATTCCTCCCAAAGGAGATAGGCTGAAAGCCTGAAATTTCTTCTTGAAGAGAATAAAGTTGCCTTTCAGTACATTGATGGTGTATATTTGAGTTGATTTTAATGGTATTTGCCAAGCAAGTCAGGGAAAAAAAAATCATGAAAGATGGAAATTTTGGAGGCCACTTGAGTGAAATACTTTTCCTATTAGACATCCACATGGAGTGTTTTTAAAACCAAACCGGTTGAACTAATCACTAGTTATGGAAACAAATTATTAAGTGGGTGTTTGGATTATTACCATTTAAAAAGCAATTATTAATTATTAGTTCTAATCAAATATAGTGAATATTTTAAATTATAAATAATAATAATAATTACTTAGTAAAGATAAATTATTTTTTATGAAAAATAGAGAAATATATTAATTAGTAATAAGAAATTATAACAGAATCTTCATCTCATGACATATAATTAAAAGATTAAATACCATTTTTGATTCCTCTACTATAGGAAAAAGTCCTTTTTTGGTCACTATATTGAAAAAATCCCCTTTTTGGTCCTTACAGTTCACAAATCCGACCAATTTTTAGTCCTTCCGTTAAATTTTGGCTGACATGGCAGGTTAATTAACGGAAACACTCATTTCAAATGAACCAACCAGTGTTAATATGAAGGAGAAAAAGGCTCATGGGTGCGAACCCACGAGCTGGGTTCGCGAGGAACCCAGGCTTCTGGGTGCGAACCCACGAGCTAGGTTCGCGAGGAACCCAGGCTTCTGGGTGCGAACCCAGGCC